AGTAAAAAATCAAGTAAAATTGAAATCGAAAATTTCAAGTGCATTGGCCGGGAATCGAACCCGGGCCTCCCGCGTGGCAGGCGAGAATTCTACCACTGAACCACCAATGCCTCATCTACTTCTCCCTTTCATAGTATTAACTTTGAAGGCAGCTGAGGCTAACTTGCCTGGGCAGATAGCTGAGTTCGCAAGCCCAAAGAGAGGAAGGCCCTCAATGGTTCACTTGGGTGGAGCTCCAGGTCTTTTTTCCTCCTTCCAGGATCCGGCCACCCCGCCATAAAGATACTCCATATGGCCAGGGGCGGCCCCACACCCGGGTGCGAATAGCCCAGGCCCCCGAGCCTCGCGTGCAGGTGAGAAAAACTCTACTCGAGCCCAGGTTCCCAAGGAGGCGGGTGACAGAGGCTGCTGAGCCCACACATCTGCACTCCCATTTGGCGGAGGTAGGGGAGGTGGGATGTGCTGGGGGCCCTGATCCCAAATGGGAACCCCCTCAAGATCTGTGCCCCTCCAGGCTTGGGCTTTGGCAAGGCAGCATTTTTTTCCCCTTGCGAAAAAAACCAAGGTGTGGAGGGGGTGCAGGAAGGGATTGGAGGAAGCCCCTCTTGTCTCTGACTCCACAACTATCTTCTGTCTTGGTTTGTAACCCTGTCTTTCCGTGTTCTTTTCTTGTCCAAGGCACTCTTTTCGTTCCATTAAATCTCTGGTTTACCTTCTCAGGCACTTCGTCCTGAAGTCTCCAAGTGTTCACGCATCCTTCTGCAGATGGTCATGCTCTTGGTTTGAGGTGGGTGTTGATCCCCTTTTTTTTTGTATCCCTCTTTTGTCCCTTTAGGAAAACGGCGTGCTCCCTGCTTGCCTCCAGTTAGGAAGGGCCTCCAAATGAAAGTAACATGGACATCTTTGTGAGAGATTTCCCATTAGCCACGTACCTGAGTTACGTTTTGAACCAAATACTTGTAAGTAGAAAGATCTTTCTATTCTGACTCGGGCTTTAAAGATTTGATCCTTCTTCCTTGAAGCGTCCCTTGCTCCCCCTTAGTCCAGTCATCTTTAAGGAAATCCTTTTCCCGGAGCACTCCTTTGCTTTTATAATAGCAGAGTGATGACACATCACCTTTTTCTACTAGATCTGAAGGGATAAACTGGACCTCTCCTGCATTCCTCTTTTTGAACAGTCCAAACCTAGACCAGGGACGCGTGTGCACAGCCAGCACTCAGATGTTGGGGGAATTGAATAGTGTGCCTCTTCCACCGCCAGGCAGAGTACCAGTTCAACCAGGCTAGCACCCTTGCACAGTTATTTCCTATACCGAGTGGGAGGGGCATTTGGGTGACAATTTACAGTACTTAGCCTGGAAGCTGACGGGTTCCAATTTTATTTCTGTGTTAGTGAGGTTACAGTGAGCCTCCAAGAAAGCTGCAGTTCTAGGAAAGCTCTCTTAATTTCACCTCTGAATTCTGTTCCCAAACACTGAAACTCCAACTCCCCCGTAATAGCCTCCTCTCTTCAGTTGTGTCCCGCCTCATTATACAGCCTTATGGTCCTTAAACCAGCCGGTGTCCATTCGGCCCTCATTTCCCACGCTCTCAGGCCAGTTCCTCTCCTTCCCCTCCCCCCATTCACTCTTCGCCTTTCCGGGAGCCGCGTGCGGGGGTCCTGGCCCCGCAGGATCCAGGTGCCGGCCAAAAGGGGCGGAGCCGTAGCCTATCCCTCCTACCCCGGCAAGGCGGGATATAAGGACCGAGGCAAGCGGGGACCCGGTCCACGCCAGGGTCCGGAGGAGCAATGGTTACCCGGGATAGAGCTGAGAATAGGGACGGCCCCAAGGTGAGAGGCGGGAGGGGAGGGAGCAGAGGTCTTTGGTCCGGCCTAGGAACTTGGGCCATGACACCGTGGATCAAGGGTGAAGATGCGGACGCAGGGCTGAAAGGGGAGAGGTGCCCATGGTGGGAAGGATCCAAGGAGCCAGGCGCTGGAGAGAAAGCTGCAAAGTTTGATGAAGAAAGGGACAGGGTCAGAGCAGGACCTGCGAGAGCGGCGGAAGCAGAGGGCTAGAGGCTTGGGTAACGCGTATCTTAAGGGGACGTGGGGGAGAGACCAGAATATCAGTGAAATAAGTAAGAGGGAGCCAAGAAAGGAGGCTGGGAGAGGGGGAATAATACAGCATGGGCCCTAGCTCCCCCAGGGCTGTAAACCAGAGCTGGCCCAAAGAGTCTTTATAGAAGGCCTTTCCAGAGGTCCGAGGCCCGATGGAAGATTTCAGGAAAAGCAGTGGAAAAGGGGAAAGTAGACTGGCTTGAGGGAGAAGAGGGGGAGTGGTCGCGCTAGGTGTCTCCCTTTCTACACTCAGGGCCGCCCGCTCTGAGCCCCGCACCGTGCAGCCCACTTGCCTGGGCACAAAGAGTGTCCCAGAGTTCTCCACTGAGACAGAGAGAGACTGCAAGAGACGGAGACGTAGAGAGAAAAGAGGAGAGACACAGAATGGGGAGGAGGGAGGACGATACTGAGAGAGGAGAATACAGAAGACCCGGGAGAGAGAGGAGGCGAGCTTCAGAAAGGGATCCCAGGGGCGGTGGGAGGGGGAGTGGAGAGGGGTGGAGTGGGCCCGGCCCTAGGCGATCTGGGGTCTCGGGAAAGTGGAAGGAGGCTCTCCCAGCGGCGGGATCCGGACGCCGGCGCCGTGGCGCTGAGTCTCGGTCCGGTCGGCCCGCTCTACCTTTCCCGCCGGTCGCAGATGCTGAAGCCGCTAGTGGAGAAGCGGCGCCGGGATCGCATTAACCGCAGCCTGGAAGAGCTACGGCTGCTGCTGCTGGAGCGCACCCGGGACCAGGTCAGTCCCTCCGCCAGGTCCCGACCCCCAAGCATCCGATTCCCGCGACCCAGGGCTTCCCACTGGGGTAGGGACCCAGGTTGGAGGGGCAACCCTGTTCCCAAGGTACCCATGACCCGAGCTCGGTCCTCGGGATCCTATTCCAGACTCCCCACTCTCTCAGAACTTCGGGTCTGTAAGTTTCCCGTCCGGTTCTGTAAATGTCTGTTCCCTGGGTGGGTCAATCACCCTGTGCCTCTTTAAATGTCCCCTTCTCCTCCGCTGCGCCCCTAGATCAGCCAGCTTCAGTCCGGCGGTAGCGTTCACTCCCTGGGTTGCTGTTTCTAACCCCCTCCTCACACACTGGGTACTGATTCCACGCCTTCGGCTTGGTCAGTTTCATCTCAGGGTGGGACAGGACCATTCTTGGTCATCTCACTCCACATCCGGTCGCGCGTTCTGGGGGCACTGCCAGCTCCCGTACCCGCCCCTCCCTTCTTCTCCCTGCCACTTTCCCCCTCTCTCCCCACCCCTTTCTGTCTCTGCGCCCTCCCCTCGCGTCTGTAGAACCTCCGGAACCCGAAATTGGAGAAAGCGGAGATACTGGAGTTCGCCGTGGGCTACTTGAGGGAGCGAAGCCGGGTGGAGCCCCCGGGTACAGAGCGGGGGTGGGGCAGCGGAGGGTGGAGGGGACCCCTGGAGGCTCGGCTGGGGAAGCTGGGGCAGCCTTGCGGTGGACGGTGGGCTTGGGGAGTGGCAGGCTGTGCTCCTAGGCGAGGTTAATAATACCCGCGCGTGTCTGTGTCTGTGTCTCCCTCATTTTTTCTCTCTATCCATCCATCCATCCATCCATCCATCCATCC